TGTTTTATATTTTTTATTTTTATTTATCATTTTTGTTATTTTGTCATTTTTTCTTTTTTTTTACACATTTTTCTTAATTTAATAATTTTTAAACACCAATTTTCCTATTTCTAAAATATATACTTATTTTAGGTATTTAAAAACATATGTGTGCATTAATAAATAATTTAAATAACTTGAAAATTAAAAAAATTACCAAAAATCGATCAGTTAATGCCAATCAATGATATAGTGACGAGTTAGGCTAGTTCAACACGATTAGAGCAATTTTCTTTTGTTCAAGTTGGGTTAGACTAGTTCACTGGCGGTTCGATCCAATATGGAGTAGTTTAGTCAAATCGATCAAAAATAGTTTAAAGGAGCCAGATTTAGGTCAAGTGCATGGATTTTCGAGTCAATACATTAATTTTTACCCTCCGAAATGAAGCCATTTTTCAATTTTGTTTTGTTTTATTTTTTTTATAAAAGTCTTTTTTTTTTACAACATCCCAAAGCCCTTCTAAAAAAAATTTCTCTTTTTCAAACAAACCCAAAAATGGCCGACCAACCTTCAAACTCAAACCTAAAATCCAAACTAATCAAGAGTTGCCACTTCCTCCATCGTTTACCAACATCGATTGGTCTTCAAATTTTACTAAAATGAAGCTCATTTTTTTTTCTTCACTGGCTTTGTACGAATCTTAATTGTTTATCTTAAATTTGAGGTCAAAATCAATGGTTTCAACCCCAAAGATTTCGAGCTCAGCCATTTCAAATTGCTTCCCCTTCTAATATGTCATTATCCTTATTTTAATTTTATTTCTTTCCAATTTCTAGTAAAAAATCCAATGAAAACCATGAAACGTAAAACAACTCCTAATTGTCACCATTGCTTACACCAATCCCAACCGCTGAACCTCTTCACCAATCCTCTCTTTTTTTTTTTTTTTTTTTGCCTTTTTCTTTTGGCATTAGTATTGAGGGTTCTCTTTGAGGGGTGCACTGTAATTTTTTGCTTCTTTTATTTTTTGTTGTGATAGGTTTCGGGTGGATCTTATGTTTTATTTTTTTTTCATGCTTTTTTTATGGTGGTTTTTTTATGTTTTGTGGGGGTGGCTATTTAATTGATGTACTAGAGTTGATAGGGTTTTGGTGGTTGCTCATGGAGAGGGTTCTTAGTTTCAGCTACTAGTGTAGGGATTAGGACTATGATGGTTTCAATGTGGGGCTACTAATGGTTTCGGCTGGAAAAATGTTCTATGGTAGGAATTTTGGCCAAGCCTTTTTTTTTTTAGTCAATTTTTAGCCTCTTTTATCATGTTGAATTTTAGACAAAATCTCTTGATTTCAGCTTATCAACTAATTTTTTTGCTAAGCATAAAATGGGAATCTGACAAAAGGGATGTTTAGATACAATGGATAGGAGAAGCTGGTGGCATGCATAACACTAAGCTTCAGCTTCTGTCTTCTTCTTTTGTTTTATTTTTTAGATTTTTAGATAATATTTTTAATTAATAAAATCAAACAATATGGGCCTCAATTGGACTTAGATCTTGGCCTTTAACATCGAGCTTAAATCAAATTAGATCAAATTTGGTTCATGTAATCAGACCCACTTATGCCCAAACTCAATTGAGATGTCTGAATAAATATGAATCAAGATCCATTTCAAATAACCCGAATAAAGTTAGGTGCCTACAGCGGGTGATCACAATCACCTTTAGCTTGAAATACTTTTTGAAATCTTCATTCCTTCCTAGCACATTTGAAACTTTTTGTATTAGTGGTTTGCCAATGGCTTCAATTTGATCACCTTTTAAGGCTTTATCTCATGGCATAAAATTCTCTATTTAACCATTACTCATATTGGTTTTTCGTATTGTAGTAAAATGATTGTATCTTGGAGATTGTAGTTGCAACTACTTGTTTGATTAATGAAAAGCCCTCACATGCATAAAAAACTCTCATTCAAGGAGCCTCCTCTATAAACTACATTTTCAACTTTAGTGTTCAAATTAACAAGGTTCTATAATTGTTTTTGATAAATTTATTTAAGAATAGTTACTCAAATTTCATAAGAGATTTACTTGAGATTGACTAGATATTGTTTGATAGATAAGAATACCTGCAACAAAAGAATTTATAGAGGAAAAAAATTCTTGATAGGCAAGTTAGTATGCTTATAAATAGTGAGTTTTTATAGGGTTAGGTAAGAAAAGAAAGATGTAAAAGAGTTGTAGGATTTTATGGAATAGACACCACATAGGACTAAAGAAGATTAAAAAATATCTTTATAGGTTTGTATGTTTGAGTGGACTAGAAGAGAATGAAAGAATCCACATAGATATTGTGAATGAGTGCATATAGGTATGTGTTTGTTTGGGTTGAGAATATTCTATAGGACTAGAGAATAATAAAATGGTCTATCAATTTTGATTATGAGTATTGATTGATATGATTTATTAATGTATTTGTAATTCTCTACAACTAGTGAATCTTTTTTTTCATCCATAGACGTAGGTCGATTGGGCTGAATCATATTAAATTATTATCTCTTGTGTCATTAAATGATTGTTTAGTTTTGCTTCCACTGGCTTTGATGTTTAATTGGATCGAGACTTTTTAACCTAATAATTGGTATAAAAGCTGTCGTAGTCCTAATAATTGATATTAGAGCGAAAGTTTGAGACAATAGAAAGGTAAGCAGAAAAGCTCGAATTAAGAAAAAAGTTCAAGTTCATAGTTTGAAGATTGGTTTAAGTTAAGTGTAAAAACACACAAAGAAAATTGTTATGAGACTTCCATTACCGGCAGTGCCAAGCTTATCTAGCATGAAAGTTGGTAATTGACGAAATTTGAGTAAAGGTGAAAATTATTAGGGTTGACTCAAATCCTATAAGAGATTTGGATAAAGATTTATTCTAGATGGGATTGGTTAGATATTGTTTAATGAATAAGAAGACTTGCAAAAAAAGAATTTTAAGAGGAAAGGGATTTTTGATATGTAAGTTAATATGCTTATAAATAGATGGAGTCTCCATAAGGTTAGATTTGAGAAAAATATATAAGAAAGTTATGAAATTTTATTAGATAGACACCCCATAAGATTAGAGAAGATTGAGATCATCTTTGTAAGTGTGTATGTTTGAGTGGACTAGAGGAGAATGAGAAAGTTCACATAGATATGGTGCATTGATGCATATGGGTATATGTTTATTTAGGTTGAGAATACTTTATAGGCCTAGAAGAGAATGAAATGGTCTATAGGTATTGATTGTGAGTGTTGATTGATATGATTTGTATGTTTCTAATTTTTTACAATTAGTGAATCTTTTTCTCATCCATGTGTGTAAGTTAATTGGGCTAAATAATACTAAATTATTGTTTCTTGTGTGATTGATTGATAATTTAATTTTTCTTTTACTGGTTTGATTGTTTAATTAGATTAGAGTTTTTTACTTAATAATTGATATCAGAGCTATCGTGATCTTAACAAAATTTGACTATATTAATTGTTTTTTCCTTAAGAGCCATTGTTATGACTTTACCAAAGAAATTAATCCGATTGGTTGCTTATCATCTTATACGATTGCCTTTTTCTTTTATATAGAAAAAAGATCAATGTTTAGTACTACTTTTTAATTTGACAAAAAACAAAAACCATTGATGAAATCTTTAGGCGAATAAGCGTATAATGTATCTTTAATAACATCAAGACTTAGGATTATTTTTTTGTAACTCTACTTCTAATATTTTATCCATTTGTTGGGAGGGACACTACATGCTTTAGCCTTTAGCTACTACTTAAAGTATATCACACACCAAATGAATGAGATGCTCTTATTAGAATAATAATGGAGGCAAAAACCACATAAGATTCCATTTATAAATTAGACAAACAATAAAGAAAAAAGAAACACCATTTTAATTTTATCTATTAAAAATATAAAAATAATATTCTAAAAAAGTTTTTAATATTCTATAAATTTGTCAAACGCTATTCTAATCTTTTGTTACAATGCTTTTAAAAGCCATTCTACTTGAACAACACTTCTTATTATGAAAGTTTCAAACTGTCCAAACAAACCCTAAGTGACAAAAGAAGAGTTTAAGACAAAAATTACTCAAAAGTGAAAGTGTGTAGTATGATTGGCCAAAAAAATACTAGCAAATTGGTAATCAATAAATAAAACTAAATATGATCCAAATTTATCATTCTACTTAAAATGATAAATCAGCTTTGCTACTCATTTAAATAGTTATAAATTTCATTAATCTTGTACGTTTAACTAATTTGGTGAAAACTAAAAAAAAATTAATATAAAATTATATATAAAATTAAGAAAATAATTTATTAATATTATATGCATAAATTAAATGAAAACATTAAATATTTTAACATTATATGTGTACATGCATATATATATAAAGGATAGATCAAATTATATTGCATAAAATTTTTTTAGTTTTACATATTTTTTAACTATTAATTTCAATAGATCTAATGGATGAGATTAAACCATTTTTTCCTATTTCTATTTGTCTCTCTCATCTATTTATTAAAACCAAATGTTAGAAAAATATATCAAACTAAAAAAATTTTACATTGTATAAATTAATCACTTCTTATATATAAATAAATATATGTATATATATATATATATATTTGAACTTCGTATGCAGAGTTTGAAAACTTCATCGTCTATATATAAAATAATAATTGTATATATTAGATTAAAAATATAGATATTATAAATTATAGATGGATTATAGAGTAAACTATATAACACTTGAAATGATTTAAGTTAATGAAAGAATGCACACTTAGTTAGAAAACAAGAGTGATATATTATAATCTCCAAAAGGGAAGCTGATAAAAAAATAAAGACACTGCCATCTATTTATTCTCTTTCAAAATTTTCTTCCTCTGCCAAACAAATAATTTCAGTATTACAAAGCTGAAAATTACAAAACTTTACAAGTGGTTGTGTGTTGAGCAAGAAAGCCGAAAAAAGGGGAAAAAATCCCTAGTATTAGAAAGATGAAAATTACACAAATCAAACACAAACACCCATCTTTGCACTTAAATCATATCTTATTTTTACATATATAACAGGAAAAATTAAATAAGTAACACAGGCACCCATCTTTGCACTCAAATCATATCTTACTTTCACATATATAACAGGAAAAATTAAACAAGTTCTAAAGCACACTTGGTGAAAAAGAAAGATGGACACCGTTTTACTTTTGTCCCATAGTCGCTTTTCGCATTGAGTAATATGCTTGAATAGCAGTAAAAAGAAGACCCATTAAGGCTCCCAAGAAGCCAAGGAAACTCCACGGAGTGCTGAAATGAGTATAATACGCCTTAGCTATGCAGGTCGTCCATGGATTGTCGCAGTACTTACGTATCTTATCTGTTACATCGTGGTACATCTCGAGATCAGGCACCAAATCTGTGGTTATATTATTGAAAAGATCAGCTACTTCTTGATCACTGCCCAGGTAATTCAGTAGCATTCCTGCATGTCTCAACTCCTTTACATCTTGTGCTGTGTCAATGAGAGAATCAAGGAAGCATAAGTAAGAGGTGACCTCAAATTCATTTTTGAAATCTGGGCACATTTCGTAAGCTACCAAGTTCATGAACTTGGAACCGGTTGAGTCGTCCACCACGATGCGAGGAATCTTCAGAGTTCCCAGAAATCCAACGTAGAAATTAACGTCTCGGAGGCTGCTTGTCTCGCTGGGAGTCACACGAATCCCTGCTTCTTTCAGCTCATTGATGCTACGAAATGTTTTAGGATATTGTTGTTGTTTTGCTCCACAAGAAAGAAGTAGCTTACCAATGATGGTCTTGGTACTTTTATTCTTGTTGTTGGTTTCGGCCAAGAGTCTTTCCCGCAAAAGCCCCAGAAGATGAGTGCGATCTTGATCTTGTCGTGGCTGTCCTTTCTTGCCTTCCGCTATTGTTCTCTTGATCTTATTATCAATGAACACGTCGATTGATTCTCTCAAATCCTTTCCATCATGGACTGAGCTTATCAATAACTCGAGGACTCGGAAAGGAAGTTGGTTCTCGAGCATGAACAAATCTACTTGGGCAAATGCCAGAATATCAACTTTAATATTCAGCTCATCTTTCTGCTTTTCTTGCTTAGACTTACTGTAATGTATGGCTTTCAACACTGCACACCCGTCCACAAAGAACATCCAAGCGAGTTCCTCATCGTCATAATCTTCTATATCCTCTGGCTTATAACACTTCTTCAGATATCCTATATCCTGCTTAATCTTTTTGTATAACACATGTTCTGCAACTCGATGTTCTTCTGTGAAGAGCACTGCAAGTTTAAGCTTAGCTTTCTCCGCTGGCTGAAGCCTGCGGTTACCATGGTGGAGAGGGCCGATTGCAACCACCCTTGGCTCAAAATATTTCTTAAAATTCTTCTTTTCACTTAGGGTGAATGGAACCCTTTGTATTAATGGCTTGGATTTGGAAGATTGAGCTGGAACACTGTCGTCGTTTGAGGATTTCTTCAGAGCTCTGAAATAACGGAAATTCTCTTTCTCACGGATGCTCATGAAATGCAATTCCTCCTCATTACCATCGCATATTTGAAGTCGGGTTTCCGGTGATGGCTCTTCCCTTAACATTTTCAGCTTTTCTAGGCACATTTGTCTTGATAAAGCAGAGGCCTTGGCTATATATAAATATATATATATATATATATATATATATCTCATCACTTGAATGCTGATATAAAATGGAAGGTGAAGCATCTTTTCCCTTTGCTAAATTATGAAGTTTAGAACTCAACATATTCTTTTCACTTTGCTCTTTTCCCCTCTTTCAGATTGCTCTGTTTGCTTTACTAATTAAAGATACCCAGTTGCTGCCTGTAATTTGTTATTCCCATCACTTTTTCTTGATGAAGGTACACATTTTATCAACAACGTAATACACATGTGCCAGCTACCATTAACTTTCACCTTTTGTTGTTTTCGTTTAAAGCTCGACTGTAACATCTACAGGCTTAGTCCAATGGTTTATCCAAATTCCTTAAGAAGTGTATTCTAATAACGTTGAGGTTCCATCTCCAACTCTTGCAAATTCCGCTTTTCAATCTCCTTCAGGTCTTAGTCTTTTATGTATTAAAAACAATACCGAATTTCAGCAATATGAGTACAGAAATTTGGGGCCATACCAATTCAATTATAGGACGAATCAGATCAGGTTTAAACCATACCAATTCAATTCAGGTTATTTTGGATTATATAAAAATTAGGTTAATTTGGGGCCAGATCATTCTGGTTTCAGATTATTTCAAGTTTAAGCAATTTTTGATTTAAATCATTTTGGATTTGGGTCATTTTTAGTTTGAATCATTTCAATTCGACCATTTTGAATTTGATATCTGAATTATTTGGGTTTAGATCATTTTGAATGCAATTTATTAATTTTTAAAATCAAATTAGATTAAATTTATATAAATTATTTGATCAAATTCGAGTCAAATTTTATTAAAAATATAAATATAAATAATGTAATTTGTATGCTTTAAATTAAAGTTAATTTTAATAAAATGAAAAATATATGATTTTATTAGACTTAGAACTTTAAAACAAATTTAAATACAATATAATGATATGACAAAGCAATACAAGAAAGTTTTAGAAAAATATATTTCATGTTTAGTAATATCAACACAACTTTTGATGTGCGTAAAAAAAATGTTTAATTAAACCATACCAGACAAGTACATGTATTAGACATAAGAAATATTTTTATCACGTTTGACACGTTTAATAATTTTTTATATTTATTTTAATTTAATATAAATATATAAAAACTATTTTAAACTTTTAATTATAATACACAATTACATATTTAATATAATCATATAAAAATTGTTTTAATTATTTATTTATGATACACATTTCATATGCAATTATTTTTTATATTAATATATAATAACAATATAAATGATCATTTTAATATAATTATAACTCATTATTTAATAACTTATTATTTTGAATTTTAATATAATTGAAAGGCGTTATAGAATTTATTCTAAACTACATGATTAAAAACTAATAATATAATTATAATATAGACATAACATATATATACAAATCCATTACTTGTTTTATATATTCTAAATGGTAAATTAATATCTATACCGATAATATTTAAAAATATATAATTTATTTAAATTATATTATAAATTATAAGAAATTTTATAAATAACATAATATATATGTATACTTTATACTAGTTTGATATTTAAAACATATATTAATTTAATATTTTCAATAATTTTAATAAGTTATCATTAATGTTATATTTATTATTTTTTTGTTTTATATTTATTATCTTTATTAAATTAATAATTTAAAATAAAATTATATTTAATTTAATTTCAGAGAATTTCAAATTAATTTTTTGAACCATTTTGATTTTAAACCATGTCAATTTCGAATTATTTCAGATTCGAACTATCGATTTCAGATTGATCTGCATTTAAGTTAATTTAGATTCTGAATCAATTTCAGATTGATCTGGATTTAATTTAATTTAGATTCTGAATAATCGATTTCAAGTCGTTAGCATTTTATGGTCAATCAAGTTGGATCAGGTTATGAATTAGATGAGTTGGGCGAATTTTTTATGTTCGGGGCCAGGTATAGAAGAAAAGGAGTAACTACTTTCTTTCCATGTTCCTCTGAAAAGGAAAACAGCCAGAGACAGAATTTTCTACCACCAAAACTCATAGAATCCAGAGTCGTGTAAACCGTATCTAGTGTACCAGAAAATACATAGCAATTGCATGCATCACCAGTAGCCAGTAGGAATAAAATCTGATCAACACGGGTTGTCGTAAAGAAGCATTGTATAGAAATCTGTTAACCCTGCAAATACAGAAAGAAAAAAAAATGAAGAAGAAGAAGAAACAAATGCAAAGCAAAACTGCTTACTCGCTCTTATTGTTCAGGGAGATAAAATGATCGTCCAGCTATTATGTTGTAAGATTTCAAAATGTTGAATCGGATGGACTTGACTCTTGGAAAGTTCTTAGCTGTGCTTAGCAGCAGCCACAACAGTATTCATCAACACCCCCCCGAAAGCCACTCTTCTCTAACTCGTGAATGCCGGCAATCGTAGTCCCACCAGGTGATGTAACGTCATCTTTGAGCTGACCAGCGTGCTTCTCGGATTTAATGGCCACAGAAGCTGCTCCTAACCTGCAAAAGAATGAACCCAATTGTCTTTAAAAAAATTACACATACAACTAGCAACTAAAAGAGCCCTGTAAGAAAGACGCCAGCAGCCAGTGGTTGCTAGTAATGATGAATGATTAAAACAGGCACTTCTACTCAAGAATAAAAAATAATTAATATACAAACCAATAGATGTTAGAGAATTGAATAATCAATTCAACTTTCTTTTTTCATGAGAGAGTGCACAGAAGTCATCTCAAGTCAACCCACCATATTCCCCTTTTTTGAACTACTTACTACTTTGATAAAAACTAAAATTTTACTTGCACATAATAATTCAATACTACCACGTGCACAAGGAACTTCCATCATATCATTAAAAATGTGTTTCAGTTAAGCCTACACCACGGTTGTATTTTTCCTAATTCATCTTATAGATGGTCTGTGTTTGAGGGAGGGGCATCACAGAAGATACATGACAATTAAATTTTGAATCCATATTAAACACCACACAGTACTGAAATCAGCAATTTTTTATATTTGCAGCCAAATGGCAACTCTCACCCTTAGCCTTAAGAGAAAATTCAGAGTTAAAATTGTGCCAAGATTTATGGAGAGGTAAACGATTTTTCTGAAGGCTCTAAAAAGGCACTAAGTACATGATTAATTTGTAGTAAACATTACATGATGCATGATGCATAAAGTATGACTGACTTACAGTCTGAGAAGCTAGTCCCAATGCTAGTTCTCGTGGAAGACCAGCAGCAACTCCTCCATCAGCCAAAGCTTCAATCGCTAAATATATGTACGCTGGACCATGCCACAGTCAAACAGAAGCAAAGGGCAACCAATAATGGAAAGGATTAACTCCTGTTCAGACAATAGTATGCATAGACTTTTTAGGCATATTATGATAACCAATTTGTTTCCTCTACCATTAAAACAACATTATACCTGAGGCCAGTGATAGCACCAAACAATTTCTCACCAGCTCTCCATATCTTGCCAACTGATCCAAATAATTTAGCAACTAATTCCCCATCCTCTTCTGTTGCAGCTCCTCCCAAGCTCATAACCATACAAATGGAACAATATTAGAGATTTATATAGTCATTCATAGCTCACAAACATGATATACAAATAAAAGATTGCCAAATGGGCTTGTGTGACTTGAATCAAATTTTACAAAAAAAAAAATAAATAAATAAATAAATAAAATAAATAAATAAATAAATAACAGATGAAGGTTTCTCTGATGGACCTTTTTTGAATTGTAATATTACAAATTCTCTGCCACAAATTTTACAGACGAATAAGAAATGAGAAATTTATAGTATTTTATGATGCCTACAGGTAGGATCTCTATTGCTGAGACCATTTGTAAACCCAACATGATTTAGAATCAAAAGATTGAAGAAGATCCCAGTTTTCACACCACAATTCTCTAGAAGCTAGTGACAACTTTTAATTACTATCTTGCCCAATGACAAGCTAATATGAATATGCCTGAAGGAACTATCTCCAAGAGAATGAGGCAAGAGCAAAGGAAGGAAGGAGTAGAATTAAATATGACAATATTTTGGAATACAATTAAAAATAAATTACAAAAGCATAAGAAGCACAGAAGAAGAAAAGAGAATGGACAAAGACAGTGGAAGAGCGGTATTCTTCTAAATGTTTGTTTGATATGTAAATCTACATTGCAGCTTTGATTCATCATGAAGGCAGAATATAAGGGCTTTCATAAAACAATAAAAACAAGACTAGATATTATTGCCGTCCATATTCTAGACCTACCTAAAGCAAACATCTAGATGCAGAACACTGATATGCTAATTGAGGGAAGAGCTTACTTAAGATTTTATGTTGTTACTCTTGCCATATTGATGGGGCTAATTGTAATATTTCATAGATCTAGGGTTATATTTAGTATTTTTACATTTAAATTCAGGTTTAGTATCATAGTGTGGTTTTTTATCCTATTAAGATTTGTCATTATCTACTTAGGATAGGGCTAGTAGCCGATATAAATAGAAATGTACTCTTTCTTTTAGAGTCAGATTATTATTACGAGAATTTTTTTAGCAATATTGCTAGTGAGATTGTGTGATGCAATCATCCTTAGGTGTGACTCCTAAGGAACCCTAGGTGTGATGCAATTAAAGAACCCTAATTATCTTTTCTTTTCTTTACTCTATTTTCCCTATTTTCTTAAGAATTTCAAATTATTGTTATCTGAAATCCTAGTTCCTAAGCAGTCCTGCACCGCATCTATTTTAGAGGAATTATGACCTCTAAAATAGATGCTATATCTAACCGTATACTAGCTCCATGTCTTTTAGGCTTTTGTACAAAGGCAAAGACCTCAAAATCACATACTTGCCGATCCTTCAATTTTACTCCTGCAGCAATTGAAACGAAAAGCTTATTCTTTGAAAGGAACGGCCTCAGCTGCAAGACCACATTTTTTAACTGCAAATCACCAAAAGTAAAGTTTTAGACTAAAAACAAAAGTTCGAAAATGAATCTGAATATGGTCTGCACCCATCGTTTTTGTTTTCTTTTTCTCTTATCTCTCTTTCCATATGATGACTGAATTAATAAATGCAAACATTCAAAATCATAGTGCTTTGACAGTGATGTCTTTACAAGACATAAAGTGGTACATATAGAAAAGTGTTTGAGCTCAAAAGGAAATAGACGTGACCATGTTTTGCTACTGTCATTAAGCTACCATACTCCAATTTCTTTTCTATAATAAAAGCAAAATGACAGAGACAAGATAGCCTCATTCACAGTTCATATTCTAAACTTACTAAAAATTTGCCATCGCATAATCCCCTAACATATTTTTTAAACTTCTCTAAAAGGGGAAAAGAGGTATCACGAAGTTTCTAGCATTTCATATTCTAAACTTACTAAAAATTTGCCATCACATAATTCCCTAACATATTTTTTAAACTTCTTTTAAAGAGAAAAAGATGTATCACGATGTTTGTAGCATTTCATTAAAAAAAATTAGAGAAAAGTACCTATTGCAAGAATGGTAAGCGTGCGCAGGCAATGAAAGAGGAAGCACTGTAGGGAAGAGCATCACCTACTTGGGGTTTCACTGAAAAAGTAATCACATCACCTGATTTCGTATATTCATAACTTGGATCAGAAATTCAAAAAAAAAGTAAACCAATTTTTCTTTTTTTGTTTTCTAGAAGCAAAATATCAAATAGTAAATGTAACGAGAGGGAGGTAGGGAGAGATCGGAGTTGTAAGGAAGGAGAGAGACGCCAAGTGATTGGAAGGCGACACCACGATTGGGATTTGAGTAGATTGCTGTAGAAATACGTTGGGTAGGCAACACGCCAGATTGCACCACTCCTCTGGCTATGCTCTTAGCCATTTTCCCTGCTCCCACGAGCCCTAGCTTGAAGCTTTCATTCTGTATAGGCACTGCCTCCATTTTTACGGTGTCATCCGCTGGAATACTACAGTATGGCAGCTGAGCTTGGCGCTTTTGTCTTTTAGTAGTAGCACTATTATTTCTCAGATGCCAGCGGAGGGGTCGGAAGAAAGGAATCTTGGTTTTTTTTTCTTTCTAGGGCGTTTCATTTCCTGCATATTTTGATTTCAACAGTTTTGGCCACCATCCCTTCGAAACCAACTATATATAATTTTTGAGTTCAAGGACTCGAACGGAATTTTATATTTGTTTTGGTAGCAAAAAGAAAAGCAGAGGAAAGAAACCGCTGCCCGCGAGACCAGTTTGGCCGACGACGACAGTCTGGTGAAGGAGAAAGAAAAATGGAGGATTTTAGGGTTTTAGCTCAGGTTTATATAGGTGTCTAAAACGACGCCGCTTTGTAAGAAATAAAGAAAAATGAAAGGAAAAATGAAGTGGGATGGTTTTGGGTCCAGGCCAAGTCCGAATTCCCACACTCGATCAGTTGATTTGGTCAAGACAAAAGCCTAGTCAAGAAGAAGATTTTGTTGATTTCTAACTCTTTTATTTAACTTTTTTATTTATTTTCACATTATGTTTGTAATTTAAAGCAATAAAATTGTTTAATTTATTAAATTTAAAAATAAAATAAATAATAAAACTGATTAGTTAGAAAATCTTTCAAAAATTAAAATTTTAGAAAGATATTCAGTGAATTAAAAAAAAAAAAATTTCTTGTGAAAAATAACTTTGAAACTCCACCAAAAGTGTTGGGAGGATAAGGATTACTCCAATAACGAGATTTTTAAGCATTTAAGTATAGATAAATAATCCAATAGGATAGTTGAATTACATTGATTTTAATTTTTTTAAAATTAAATTTTAAAAAAGTTTTAAAAAATAACAATATAATAAATATATAAAATTTAAAATTAAATAAATTTAAAATTAAATAAAAAAAAACCAATGATTCAATATTTTTTTAAAGAAAATTACTTCCTCTCCCTTAATTTTTCTTCCCCAAAAACTTCATTCTACTATTTCTTCCATCTTTATAAATACCTTTTTTTTTTCGAGATTAAGGCATCGCATCCCTACCATTCATGTCGACGATAGATAGTAGGTAAAGGAAAGCATGATAGCAAATCATGATGAATCGATTTGAGTTTTTTGTTTTTTTTTTCCCTTGGCAATATTACTGTTTCCTTTTTTTTTTTAATGGTTGTTCAAAAACAATGAAAAATGAGTCATTGAACAGGACAAAATTTACATAAAAATTTTTAAGTGAAATTTGTGAAATTATTTTTTAAATGATTTAATAAAAATTTTAATAAAAAATTTAAATTAATAAATTGATAAAATTAAATATGAAAATTAATAATATGTTAAAAAAATTATTATAAATTTTATTTTTAGTTTAAATTTAATCAATATTTATCTAATAGTAAAATTTTTGTTAATATTTTTATTAAAAATATCTATCTAAAAACATATATAAAAATTTATTAAATTTTTTTCGAATTTTATACATTTAATTTATAGAACATAATCTTTTAATTTATCAATTTTTATTTTTAATTTTTATTTTTATTTGTTCATTTTTAATCAAAAACTTTACGAATTTCGAACGAATCTTAAAGACAATAAACAAAAGAGGAAACGTGGCATATTTTTGGAAGATGCAGGGATTTGCATTCCTATTACACAAAGATATCTTTGTCTCCAAAATTAGTTATTGTTGTTTTAAGTTTAAGATCCAGCAAGCCAAATATACTTGAGATTAAAACAACTCAGTTTTCTTACATATGAAACTCAAAATGTACATTGGTAACTCACACACCAAGCTGGGGGAAAAGAAAAAGAAAAAAATGAAAAAAAAAAAAAAGAGCAGGCAATGATTTCAAGCACAAATAACCTAATTAAGATTGAAAAGAGAAGGTTGAAAGCACACTCTAAAGGACTCGTTTCAGGGAGTTGAACCGCTTTCTTTGTTTTGTGGCAACGAGAAATAAGCCTGAATAGCGGAGAACAGAAGGCCTAAAATGGCACCCAAAAGGGCAAGGAAACTCCATGGGCTACTAAAATGGGTGTAAAGGGCTTGAGCCACAGAAATCGTCAATGGATTATTACAGTACTTACGGATGCCCTCTGCAACATCAAAGTACATCTCCTGATCTGGCACCAAGTCCCTGCTCATTTTATTGAACAGATTAGCCACTTCTTCATCACTGCCCACGTAATTGTGAAGCACACCTCTAACTCGCAACTCCTTAACATCTTCTGCTGTATCAATGAGAGAATCCAGGAAGCATAAGTAACTGGTGACCGCAAAATCATTCTCAAAATCTGGACACATTTCTAAAGCTACTAAGTTCATGAACTTGGGAGCCGTTGAGTCATCCACCAAGAGGTGTGGCATCATTAGTCTTCCCCGAATGTTGCAAGAGAAGGAAATGTTCTTAATGCTGTTTCTCTTGCTGGGCTTTACATAAATCCCTGATTCTTTAAGCTCCTTGATGCTACGAAATGTTTTCCTACCTTTTCGTCTGTCTCCGAGCGACAGAATCATCTCACCAATCATGCTACTGCGTCTCTCCTCTTTTTTCCCTGTCAGCAGTGTTGTCCGTAACCGCT